TTGTAGGGACCAAGAGGACTCGGGTCCGGCCCTCCCTTCTCCTAGCGGGGCCTGGAGCCACCGGAGTAGACGCAGCGCCCCTACAGCCAGCTTTTCCGCCTCCATCTCCTCCTCCTCCACCTCCTCTTCCTTCCCCCAGCGGGCGTGCAGTCTCAACCGGTTCAGACTGGCCAGGGTGCCTCAGCAAAGGAGATCGGCGAGTGGGACCACCCCGGGAGTGACTTCCCGGGGTGGGGGCGGGACGGTGGAGCCGGCGGGGAGGGCTGCACTCCATGTGTCCCCGGGGCAGAGGGCGGCGGCGGTGAAGTGCGCGCAGCGGGACCGGTCGCCCAGCGCACGGCCGGGATAAGCAGCCGCGGCCCAAGCTGTGTCCGCGGCCCCAGACGAGCCCGGGACTCAGGTAAAGGCCCCAGAAGCGGGGAAGGTCCGGGTCCGAAAGACCGTCACTCAGCCAACAGCAGCAAGAGAAGGCGGTGCTGTCACCCACGGGGCGCACAGCTGGTGGTCGGCTTCTGGTCCGGCTGTCTGCCCAGGACTGAGAGTGCCCTGCAAGCGCCGCAGCGCGCTCTGCACCCCCTTTTTAAAAAAGAATGCTTGCCTTTGCGTAACACTTCCAGGAATCCAAGGGCTGCATTTTGCATGGAGTAAGGGGAGCAAGGGAGATGAGGTCCGGGAAGTAGGCGGGTGCCCCCGGATGAGTCTCCCGGGATACCTTCTGCCGGTGCTGGTGGCAGATCAGAAAGAGGCGTGCAACCCAGGTGGGTTCTTACTTCCCAGAAGGCCGTTCCAGGAAAAGTGGGCTCAGGTGCTGGGGAGAATCCGGGTTGGGGCTAGAGGTGCGTCTATCTGCAGGGACGGCCGCGCAGGGTGCGGGCGGGTCCTGCCGGGTTCCAGGCAGTGCAGCGCCCGGGCTGCGCTCCAGAGTGCCAGAGCCCAGCTGCCAGACAGCTCCTTGGCCACCTGGAAGCTCAGAGGAGCAAAACTTGGAAGGATTTTGGTGCGCATGCCTCAGCTCTGGTTCGCCTAGGTAACCTACTTTGGTTTTAGCAGGGCACGGAGGCTTTGGAGAGGGCGGCAAGCTAGCCATTGAACTTGACCCTCCAAGTCGGGACAAAACCTCGTTCTTGGGATGTCAGGTGTATGCAGCCCAAACAATTCGGAAAGTTTAGGCAGCGTTTACACTACATATATTATTTACGTATTATTATTTATGTTGGTATCTTAATAACCTCAGTGGACCCACCTCATGGGCTCCAGTTCAGTTGGGATATCTAGACTTCTTGAATAGCCTAGATTGTCGTGTTCACCTAGAGCGGAGCAGAAACAGCTTCGATATTCTCGGGCAACAGTTTGAGTTAAAGAGGATGTAGAGGAAAGAGCGTGTTCATACTGGTGACAGCCTCCATTAAACCATACCCTCCCTGAACAAGCCAATAGAAATTAGACGATAAAATCGTTTCACCTGCCAACTGGCAAAATCTTGTATCAGCACCACTGATGCCCCAAGAACAGACTTCTTGGATAAGTGGAGAGGCAGGCACCCTTCGTCTCCAAGGAAGACTTTATGGAAAAGTCAAGGGTGTGATAAGGTGATATGGAATGGCAAGCATCCTTCGCATCTCTAAGGAAGACACATCTCTAAGGAGTGCGACAAAATGGTGGAGAAGGACGCGAGGAAGTCTCGCCCGGCTTCTTAATGTTTTCTTGGCTGCTCTGCAACACTAGCTATGATGGCGGGCACTGGCTGGTGTCTGAATGTCAGAAAAGGTGTGCTTAGCTTCATGTAGACCTGGCCACTGTCTAAAGCAGTGGTTCTCAACCTTCCTAATGCTGCGACCCTTTAATCCAGTTCCTCATGCCTTGGTGACCAACTGTAAAATAATTTTCATTGCTACTTCATGACGGCCATTTTGCTATTGTTATGAATCATAACGTAAACATCGGATATACAGGGTAGCTGATATGCGACCCCCGTGAAAGGGTCTTCCAACCTCCCCCCCAAGGGGTCTCGACCCACAGGTTGAGAGCTGCTGGAGCAGGCTGCCGATTAGACAGATGAGGTCAGATTTCCCGATTATATTTCCTCCCGTTTTGAACCCTTCATTTTTTGTGGTCCTTTTTCTACATTAAGATTTCCCCCAACTTTTACTGACAGATTACAGTTGTGTGGAGAAGTTGTGGGGGCCAAGGTGACAGGAATCGGTGTCTTGCTTGAGGGATTGCGGCTCTCTGGACAAGAATCATCTAGCGTTAAGTATCTTCAGTTGTAATTAAAAATTGTCAAAGAAGAAGAACATATATTCTAAGCCAGCTAGTGGTTTATTTTTTTTGTACATACCAAATGGTTCTCTGAGGATGAAAGGGTTAAACTATAATTTATTATTGAGTCAAAAAAAAAAAAAAGGCGTGCTCTCTGTTGAGTTTAGTAGGAAAGACAACATGCTTCCATGTCTGTCAGATGGCGTGGAGGGAGGAGTTCAAAGGCAGCGGTGCCATAGTGTACTCTTACTGAGTAACAAGAAAAGAGGGGTTCACCCAGGGTTATGGATGGAAGAGTTTCGTGGTGGGTGCAGGGTCTTAATTGAGACTGGAATGGGAAGAGGATCTCCCTGATGGGAAGGAGTCCTCTTCAACCAGAGCTTAGCACAGAGAGAGGCGAGTCTGGTGTCTTCAGAGGAAACACAGCCACTGGGAGTAGCTGGACCCTGGAACTTACACAGGATGGTGCTGGGAGGTGAGGTGGCGCTAAACGCCATACCTGATGCTAAGACATTGAAGTGTGGCTGAATATTGCCTTTATGATGCGCCCCAACAATCCGGGTGTCCTTGACTACGTTTGTGGCTTTCAGTTTGGTTTTGTGAATTACCTCGAACTAAATAATTGGTTAAAATCTCAGTGTTTGCTTCCCATTCACATTACTGGGAGGAAAAAAAAAAAACAAAAAACAAACAAACAAAAAACTCAACTAGTGTGGTCGGCTCCAATAACTATTCACATCCAGTTGTGATTTTTCTCTAGACCTGTGTGTTATGACTTTATGATGTAGCTGTGCTCAGCCTGAACATAGCTTTCCCTTCCTGGGCCAGGAGAGTCACAGCATTTTCTATCCCGTCTCACTTGTTTGTAATTCTGGTAACCATTAATGCTTGTTAAACCTGCAGTCAAGAGAGCCACATGACTTTTGCATTGTTTTGATTTTAGACCGAGAATTTTGATAAGTTCACTCAGCTAAGAAAATAGTTGTCTTGGGGCTGGAGAGATGGCTCAGTAGTTAAGAGCATGTACTGCTCTTGCAGAGGACCTACATTCAGTTCCCATCCCCCACATCAGGTGACTCACAATTGCCTCACAATTGCCTCTAACTCTAGCTCCAAGGGGATAGATAGATAGAAGTCTCTGACCTCCATGGGCACCAGCAGTCATGTATGTGGACACACACATACACACAATTAAAAATAATAAATCACGTTTAAAAAGAAGAGAAACTAGTCGATCCAACATTTGAAGCTGAGCTGCCACCTTCAGAGTCTGTCCTTTGAACTATTGCTTTGCGTCGTGAGATTATTCATAAATGTTGACTCTAATTAATACTGTTAGGTGCTGAGCCTCATTCCCGCAGACCTCACCCCCATTGTTCTGATTGGTGTCATCCTATATGTTCTGTTGTGGGTCATATTTCAGTGTCTTTATTCACCTTAAAACTGTTGTACTGAGGTAGGAGTGGTGACGCACACCCCTCATACCAGCATTCAGGATGATGAGGCAGGAGGACTGGACATGGAGACCAGCCTGTCTATACAGTAAAAATCTCCCTTAAACAACCCAGCAAACCCTATCACGTGATGTGCCTTCAAAGAATTTCTGAAGTTTGGCAGAAGTGGGATATGGAATAAGAAAATGCTAGCAGACTCGACAGCCTCACATATGAAGATGAGTGCAGTCAACCTCTCTGAAGGACTATTGATCTCCAGAGCGCTCGTTATTCCCCCCAAATCGCCCAGTTTCTCACTCTTAGGTTATCTGTGCTATTCGGCCATTGTGATGGGGAAAGAAATACTATAGAACAGTAGATACTCTTCCGAGTCATTCAGTTACTTCAAAAATACAGTAGAGGATAGTTTAAGTAGCTAGCGCAGTGTTGAGCTTTCAAAAGTACTATCTATATTCCCAGGAGAAAGCAATCATCATGCCTGTTAACCCCGTCAGCAGGTACTTTGAGGCCTTGTATGACTTAGCTTTTCTCATCACTGTGACAGCCTCTTGGTGGACTGGTGAAAGGGAGGAGGCTTTATTCTGGTACACAATTCGGGGTCATATCGAATGGAGTCTTCAGCGATCAGATTGGATCCTGAATAATCACGTGGAAGTTGTATAAAACTATGAAACAGAAGGACACGTCAGCAACTTTAGTGACATCATCATGGTTACCTTCACCAGGACACTCCCGGGCCAAGCTCTCGGCTAGACTGTAAGGAATGGCTGTAGCAGGATGCCAGCAGCACAGAGCCCATGTGAGGGCAGGACACAGAGAGGCGATGTTGCCGATCTGTGTCTAGGTAAGAGCTGGGCATGGTGGCTGTGTGTTTGTATAGGCTTGATGCTGTTACACCTTTTGACTCCAGATAGTTGATGCATCCTGTTTGCCATCTTCTCCGCGGTTGGACAGGACTTAGAATAGATGGCTGCTCATTGGCTTGGTGAGTAAAGTCAGTGGCCGGTGAGCCAGGCACGGAGTGAACAGAGAAGCCAGGGACTGTGCCCAGGACACCAGAAAAAGCAAGGTGAGACACTAAGTTCTCTGAGCCTTCATCCAGACTCCAGGACTTACTAGAGAGTCGACGAAACTGGAGAGATGTTCATCCAACAAAGGTCAGAGTTACTCAGGTTCAGCTAATTATTGAATAAAAAGTGGGGGCCCAACATGGGCAGAATTTCTGTTTTCTTTTGGGGGGAACCCTGAAATTCAGATTTTAAAGGATAATCTTCCAGTATCAAAGCACTGACAATTCATTCAAACTTGCCAAAAACCAAAACAAAAGTGACCTCACTGAGCACAACCAAACAATCTTGGGACCAGATTTGGCTTCAACGTGGACAATGTGTGATTCAGTGACCTTAGCCTGAATTGACTCAGCCAGCCTCTTCCTTCCTGGCTAGAATGTGTCACTCCGCTCCTTTGGTGGTGATCTGTGGCAAGCGTTAAGCTGCTGTCCTGGTTTCCTCTCTTGTGGCTGGGATAAAACACTGCCCACAAGCAACTTAGGGAAGAAAATGGTTTATTTAGCTTTCATCTCCAGGTTCCAGTCCATCATGGGGGGAAGTTAAGGCAGAGCTCAAGCAGGAATCTGAAGCAGAAACCATGGAGGAATGAAGCTTGCTGGTCTGCTGGCGGGAATTTTCTTACATGGCCCAGAACGACCTTCCCAAGGAGTAGTGGCCTGGACTAGCCTACAACAATCATTCACCAAGAAAATGTCCCCACAAAAGACATCCCCTCATGCCAGTTTGATCTGGGTAATTTCTCTCTGAGGTTCCTTTCTTGGGTGATTCCAGAATTCATTGTGCCAAATGGGCAAGTCAAGCTGATAGGTCAACTGACAAGTCAAGTAGGTTCAACTGCAGACATCTACCAAGCCTTGGAGGTCAAAGGGCATTCTTTGCTCATGACCCTGCTGTTGATCACAGAGACTTCAGCAGCTAATGACTCCTGTTAATTATTCCTTTCAGTGACACTTAGTGTGGCTGGATTCCAGGACCCAGAGGTGTTCCTCTGAACATTTTCCCTGCTGTTCTTCTATACTCCATCCCAGTAAGATGTAGTAAACTGTCTTCCCCCAGGACAAGGTGTATTCAGAGGCCAGCTCATGGTGCTCAGAACTCTCCATTGCCTTTACCCTGCAGGATTTGCCCATGCATTCTCTTCCTCCTTCTTCTCCTCCTCCTCCTTCTCCTCCTCCTCTTTCTCCTTCTCTTCTTCCTCCTCCTCTTTCTCCTCCTCCTCCTTTTGAGATAAGATCTTACTATGTAGCTCTAGCTGACTTGGGACTCACAGAGGTCTGCCTACCCCTTCTTCCTAAGTGCTAGGATTAAAGGTGTGCCATCATGATGCCCAGCCCTCCTTAAACAGAACAATCTGTGGATCTCCTTGAATGTCAACTAAATGAGCTTTAAGTTCAGGATTTTGCTCTTGTAAGTTGAATGGTAATAGCAGTTTACATGTTTTATAGCTCATTTAGCTGAGTTCAAAAAGGGAAAGGAAAACAAAGTTATAAGTTTCCTTAATGATTCCCAGGGAAATTGTGCAATGAACTTCTTTAACTGACCTGGATTTTTAAATTTTTATTTTATGTATGTATGTATGTGTGTATGTATTTTCAAGGCAGAGTCTCACTGTGCAGCTTTGGCTAGCCTATCTATCTGTAGACAAGGCTGGCCTCAAACTCACAGAGTTCCACCTATCTCTGCCTCCCCAGTGCTGGGAAGAAAGGCCACCACACCCAGCTGCGCTGTATTTTCAGAGATGGATTTTGGGATGTGACAAGCTTGTGTGGACCCCTTGATTCATGCCAGTGAACTATTTTATAAACAAGTGGGCCTGGCTGTCGCTTGAACTTCAGAACAGTGGTTGATGAAGAGAAGAACACATTTGAACAAACAAAATGAGAACAGTGCATTCAGAAAGGTCATGGACCTTATGTGCCTGAGCTGGCCTGGAGAGGGTTCACAGAGGGCTCAACATGACAGTTCAGAGCCACAGTGTGCTCTTATTCTGGGCTCATACACTGACAAGTCACGTGACAAATCAACCCTACCTTAAGTGACTATAGTGGCCATCTCTGAATGTTTAACTTAAAAAAAAAAAAAAGGATATGCTGCCTTTTAGCATTTGTTTGAGTCTTATTTTTAGTTGACATAGAATTTGTACATATTTGTGGAGTATGGTGTGATAGTTAAATACATGTGTGCAGAGTGTAACAGTCAAATCAGTGTAATAAACAATCTCCATTGCTTCAGATACTTATCACTTTATTCTGTTTCAGTTATCTTGAAATATGTGATGAATTGTTCCTAGCTGTAGTTACCCTACAATGCTAAGGAACGTTACGATGGATCCCGCTTTAACTGGGTTTGAGTAGCAGTTTTCCAGCCTGTGTCCCTTCCTGTCACTTCTGTTAGCATTGGGTGTCTTCTGTTCTACCGGATGCTCTGAGGTGATGAAATTTCTTAGCTTCTACATGTGAATGAGAACACTCCATATTTGTCTTTGAGGGCCTGGCTTATTTCACTTTACAAAGTGTCTGCTTCCATCTGTATTGTTGCAGTTCACAGGATTTTACTCTTTTTGTTTTTGTGGGGGACTGAATGCTTACATATGGAAGAGTCTGGTAATTATCTCTAATCATCAGAGACATATTATCTGACATTATAATTCAAGACTTTCTATCTGTCTATCTATCTATCTATCTATCTATCTATCTATCTATCTATCTATCATCTATCTACCTACTTTCTTCCCTCACTCATTTATTCATTTATTTGTTTGTTTGTTTGTTTCTCCTGACAGTCTTACTATATATCCCTGGCTAGCCTGGAACTTGCTATGCAGAGCCAGGCTGGTCTTGAACTCACAGACATCTATCTACCTGTATGACCATCTGTGGTTCTCAGGAGAAGTTATGGTTGGTATGTCAGAGACAACGCCTTTCTCCTGCATCTTCCTAAGCATTTCAAAGACAATCGAGTCAGTAGCTTTGGCTGTGGTTACTATTTCTACAGGAATTTTCTTTTCATTTCTCCTTGAAAGTCTGGATGGGCTGTTGGATCAAGATTTTCAGGGTGCAGATAAGGGGTAGAGCTAAAACAACAGCCTGGCCTGGCTGTTGTGGGTGGGTGAGTGGGGGTGGGGTGTTCTGTGGCCTAAATACTGTGTCCTCCCCTTGCCTAGAAGAAACATGGTTTATCATACTTGGATTCTAGCACGTCCAGCAAGGCTGAGGCAAGAGGGAAATGCTTTCTAGGCTAGCCTGTGCTACGTAGGAAAACTTGTCACTGAAAATCCTCAATAGCATCAAAATTGGGATCTCTAAAACAATGGGATTATAAATGTTAGGCATGGGGCCTTCAGAAAGAGATGAAATCCTAAGATGTAGGGAGCTAAAAAGCTCCGATCCCACGCACCCCATACATCATTGAGGACTCAATAAGATGACAGTATTCACTTGAGTAGAAAGTAACCCTCACACACAGCAGAGTGGGCCTTGGACTTGGCCTAGTGGTTCTCAGGAACTGTATGATAAACTTCTATTGTTGGTAAGTCACACAGTTTATAGTGTTTTGTTATAGCTTCCTGAGGGTGCAGGGCTGACACTTACCCTAGTCCCTCTGTTTGCCCAAAGTCTCTTCCTGTCTTCTTCCTGTCCTCTTCCTTCCCTTCCGGTGTCCTTCCTCACTGAGGGAGCCATGGGACGGTTGGCCAGAATGTCTTCTTCCATTCCTTGGGACAGTGACTCTTGCTTCCACAGCATTAGAATCACCCAGGAAGCTAATTGGAAGGGACAGGCATGCCGGTGGAGTAGTCTGGTAGTGAGTGCTGGCATTGGTGTGTGAGCTTGCTCGATGACTTTCTCGGAGAGTGACTGCATGAGCTGGGTCAGAACCACCATGATCTTGACTCACTAAGACATTGAGACCTTGAGCTAGAAACTCAAAAAGGAACTGAATCCTAATCCTGGTTGAAAATCCCTTACCCAAAATACTCTAATAATTAGAAGTGGTGGAGATTTGTTTTTAGATTTTTGGATTGTTTTTCTTTTTCTTCCTTTCTCTTTTTTATTTTTATTTTATTTTATTTGAGACAGGGTTTCTCTGTGTAGCCTTGGCTGTCCTGGAACTTGCTCTGTAGACCAGGCTGGCCTTGAACTCACAAAGATCCACCTGGCTCTGCCTCCCAAGTGCTGGGATTAAAGGCATGCACCACCACTGCCAGGCTTAGATTGTGTTTCTTTTGGGGGGCATTTCTGGGGATTTAACCCACAGCCTTGCGTATGTTGGCTGGGCACGCTACCATGTGTAGTTAAGTAGCCCCTGTCCTGGAATATTTGCATATACAAAATGAAATGTGTTGGAGAGGAGACCCCGATTTAATTATAAAACTCATTTATGTTTTATGCAGAGCTTATGCATAGAGTACCTGCCTGGCTATGATCAATCCCCTGGCAAAAATATACCAGGAGTTATGTTACCTTCAACACAATCTGCTTTTGGTACAGTTATTATTAGTTGTGTGTGTGTGTGTGTGTGTGTGTGTGTGTGTGTGTGTGTGTGTTTGTAGGGTGGTTGGTGCACATGCCATGGCACGGAGGTGGAAGTCAGGATGATGTTGTGGAATCCGTGGAGTCCATTTTCTCCTTTCACATGGGTTCAGGGTCATGGAACTCAGGTCATGAGGCTGGAAGAGAAACTGCCTTTACCCACAGCGCCATCTCTCCAGCCCTGGTTTTATGCAATGTCAGCACCCAAAGGAACCCTGTACCCTTCAGGTTTCCTGCCCTCAAACTGCTTTCCAAAGTGGCTCTGCCTCTCTGTGTGCACGAGCAGAGGGCGAGGTTCAGTCTTCCATGTTCTTGCCTATGTTTTTCAGCTTTCCATGCACCAAAAGTGGCATGCCTTGTAGCTGAGGGGAGTGTGGGGCCTCCCCTCCCTCTCCTCTCCTTCATCATCTACTCTTCCTTCCTCCCTTTCTTCCCATTCTTTCTCTTTAGCACAGTCCCCCTGCCTCAACCTCCTCAGTACCAGGATCCCAGGTATGAACCACCACCATGACAGCTTGAGTTACATTTGTGACGTGAATCTTAAAAGGTCTTATTAATAAAACAAAGCCGGAGCCAGGTATTTGGGGTGAACGCTGACATATCAGAGAAACAGAACCAGCCCCAGCTAACCTCACTTCGCCAATTCCTCAGCTGATCCTGTTTCGTCGAAATGGAAGCCTCTATGTCCTCATCCAAATGGATCTCAGCTGAACTGCTGCTAAAAGCCTAAAAGCTTAACCAGGCTCTAGATCCTGGTCCTCACGCCTTATATACCTTTCTGCTTCCTGCCATCACTTCCTGGGATTAAAGGCGTGAGTCACCATGCCTGGCTTTTTCCAGTGTGGCTTTGAACTCACAGAGATCTAGATGGATCTCTGCCTCCAGAATGCTAGGATTAAAGGTGTGTGTGCCACCATTTTCTGGCCTCTATGTCTTTCTAGTGGCTGTTCTGTTCTTTGACCCCAGATAAGTTTATTAGGGTGCACAGAATATTGGGGGACACACTATCACTACATACATTTTTTTAAATTCACTTCCCAGGCGACTACACTAGACTAAATCAATCTGTAGTCAACCATTTCTCCAAAGCTCTTGAGATCAGTGGGTTAGCACAGGGCTATTTTGACTGTGCTAGACGACGTTCAAACAAACAAATGGAAGTACTGTCTTCCACCTCTTTTCTTATTTCAAGCGGAAAAAACTGATCTATGAATCTTTAGAGAGCAATTACAAATGATTTTCAGAAAGAGGCCATTAGAGATGGGCTATGGTGGGGAAGGGCATTGTGAATCGCTCTGTATTTGAAAAAGGAAATCAGCATAGTACATACGAGTGCATTTCAAGAAACTTCCATGTCAGTGCTAAATGTTAATCTAAATGTCAAATGCGCCATTTCTGACAGCTTCTCTCCCAGAAAACAAAACCAAAAAAATTTCTGCCAGTTGTTAAGTTTCAAAGCCAGGACCAAAGGCTGAGGTGCCTATTTAACATATCAAAGCCGGGCCTGACCGCCAGGGTCTCCCAGCATGCCTCAGTTCCTACCTGTTTCAGGCATGACTTGCACACCCCACCCTCTACCCTGAACTCTCCAGCTCAGGGGCTGGGCTGCCCTTCCCCCAGAGGCTCTTCCCTGTAAAATCCAGATAATTTGGTCACCTGCCCTTTCCCTTCGTAGCTGCTGCACCTGGTTCCTCTCTCTCCCTTCCTCTCCCGCCTCCCACATAGCCCAGCTCAGTCTGGTCATGTCCACTCTGGACTCTTCCAGATTCCCTGCCTTTTCTATGTTCTCCCTTAGAGCTACAATAAACTTACTTCCTCCACCATACCTAGGAGTGGTCATGTCCTTTCCTTTTTATTTCTTTTTCTTTCTTTCTTTCTTTTTTTTTTTTATTTACCAGTGTAAAGAATTGAGGGAAGAAATGAGTGTGGAACAAGGTGTAATGTGAAGGCACAGGGAACATGTTCACCAGGAACATGGACTTTCCTCAACGGGGCTTTTCATATTCTGGAGGAAGTGCTTGCAACTCACTCCTAACAGAGCAAACCCCAGCTCAGTGGCAGAGACTGACCCTCTCCTGATAGCCCAGTTAATTGCTGGGGTAACTAAGTTCATGCTTTCTCCTTCACGGGTGGTCCACAAGTCACATGGTTCATTGTAAGTTAAGAAGAAATAGAGTGTCATGCCCTGAAAGGGGTGTCTCCACCAAATTCCCTCCTTCTGGCTTCAGGGAACACGTGTGTGTGTGTGTGTGTGTGTGTGTGTGTGTGTGTGTGTGTGTGTGTGTAAGAGGAGGTAGAAAGAAGTGTAAGAGCCTGAGGGCATGGAGGACACCAGGAAAACAAGGCCTTCTAAATCAGCAAGATACATCTGAACTCCTAGAGACCGAGGCAGCATGCAGAGCCGCACACATCTGCACCAGATGGGGTCCTAGAGCTGAAAGAAGGGGACGCATGCCCTCATGCCTAACCCAGAAGCTGTCTCCAGCTGATAACCACTCGCAAATAAAATTCTAGTTTTCTTCAAGGGAGTCTCTTTGGAGCCACAAAGAATGCTTAAGGGCCAGTAGTAGATGGCCAGCCGAAAACCTATTCAGTGACATCTTTGGAAGTTTTTTGTCTCATAATGAAGGGTCAAGGCTTTTTTTTTAATTTTATTTTATCTTATTTTTCATTTTTTATTTTATTATATATATTTTTCTCTCTCTCTTTTTACCCTGCAGGTCCTTTGCATACATACTATGGTTTCCAGTTTAGTGTTTTTATGGGATTCCTGAGTGTGCGAACCAGTGAGTCTTAGCATCTATACTTCTTTCTTGTGCCTTTTCCTGGGTTCTTTTTCTGTGTGTTTGCTTTGTCCTATTCCTCTGTGTTAGTTTTTGTTTTATTTTATTTTATTATTATCCCTTACATAATAATAGAAGCCTGTTTTCTAATAAGAGAGAGAAAAGGGGTAGGGAGGGGAGGGGGGAGGATTGAAGGGAGGGGAAACCATAATCAGGATATATTCTGTGAGTAACAAACCTATTTTCACTAAAAGGAAAAAAAGAAGAAGAAATAGAGTGTAAGTTAATGTCAATCTTCAAATAGCCTAGTGTACCCTGTTGTTTGACAGAAATTACACAAGTTTTAAGTGGCCTCTGAGTATGGTTCAGTCCTTGAGTGACAATTTAGTTAAAGGAGATTCAAAATTCTCAAAGAATTTACTAGAATGTACAACGTGTGCCTTTCCTTGACACATATTTCCACATTAGTGCATGAATAAGATTCCTCAACGCTGAAAGTGCTTATGGGTCTTGATGCCCAACAGTACAGTGTCTTCTGGTACCAGGTGGGCCTTGTGATTGGGAGGGGGATGAAAATCCCTTACTTAGATAACATGAGTGCCTTGTTAATGTTAGGAGTTTTCATGTGTGACGATTACTCTCCATTGTCAACTTGACTGGATTCAGAATCGCCATGGAAACACGTCTCTGTGTGGGTCGATGAGGGTGGTTTTAGGAAAGTCTATCTGAGCAGGGAAGAGCCATCCTCAGTGGGAACTGCACCAGCCCATGGCCTGGGGTACAGGACTGAATAAAATGGAGGATGAGCCAAGTATCCGAGCCTGACTGCTGTCGCTCCCACTGCCGTGCCTCTCAGCCATGATGGACTGTGTCCCCTCAGTGAGTCAAAGCAAACCCTTTGTCAGGTCGCTTTTGGCCATCTTGTCACAGAGACGAGAAAATGTCACCGGTGCGTTGTTAAAGTATAGACGGAATCCTGTGTCGGATGTAAGCATAAGGTACACGTCCTCACATGTCAGCAGAGTGCAGCGGGCCTCACCTTGTTTGCCTCTGTGAGCCCTGTGAGTGCGCCCCTCTTCATCCATCCCTCCCTCCTGCTTAGGTTCATGTTGCTCCTCATGCCCCTGACACCCGTTCATGAATCCCACTTTCTTTAAAGCCAGCCCCGTTGATAGGAAGGCATCTGCTCCGGCTCCTGCCTTGACTGCTTTCATAGCCCCTCAGTGTTTGAATACTGAGTGTCCCTCCATCTCAGCAGGCAAGAGAGCAGCTAGGCAGTGAAGGGAAGCACAGGGAATCGTTACACAGCATTGTTCGCAGCCTCAAGCTCCACTGACAGATGGAATGACACTTGTGTGACCTGGGAGATGATGACTCCAGGGATCAGGTGTCAGTCAACACCATGAAAACTTGTCTATCAAGTCCCAGTGGATAGCTTAATAGGCACTTCCTTTCTCAAATGGTTGCTGCCCTGAACACTTCCTGTGAGAAATTATTCTTGCCCTCTGTGTTGAAATATCACCCGGACTTGACCCATGACAAGGTGGGACAAGGGTTGTCACTGAAGAAAGGAATTCTTTAAGTTTATGAGGGACATAGTGTTCACTCTCACCTTCCAGAAAATCCAGATTTCTCCACGGTCTGCCTCTGCTTGTCAGGCTGTACTTTCCCAGAACATTATAATTTCGGATTTTCAATGGAGTCAGCTCTCAGTCATCTTTACAGAGCCTGTCCATCCTATTAGATGTTTGGTTGCCCCTGCCTTAGAGCATCTAATTTTGGGTATTAAATCTCTATTTTCCTTAAAGGGGATTCTGAACAGGAGTTATCAGTTCAAGTCCTTAGAGAGGCTGGGGAGGTAGCTCGAGTCAGTAACGTGTTTGCCAGAGAAGCACAAGGCTCTTAATTTGATCCCAGCACCCACATAATAAGCCAAGCTTTGTGGCACATGCTTGTAATACCAGGGCTGGGGGGCGGGGGCGGGGCCAGGGAGCGGATGGACAGGTGAATCCGTGGGACCCACCAGCCAGCCAGCTTAGCCTAAGTGATAAGTTCAAGGCCAGTGGAAGACCATGTCTCAAAAACTAAATTAGGGACTAGCAAGAGGGCTCAGCAGGTAAGGGTGCTTGTTGCCAAGCCTGATGACCTGAGTTCAACCCCCTGAACACACATTGGCGGCAAAGAACTGACTTCCACAAGTCATCCTCTGATAGTCACAGCTGTACTGTGAGTGTGCAAGCGGGTGCACACACAGAGACACAAGCGAAAAGAAAAAGTAAAAAATAAAAACAGAAACCACAGACAAAAAAGAGATAGAACATCTAGGATTTTTTTCAGTTTGGAGTCACTGCACTTTTTTTCCTAATCAATGCATAAACTAGTGCACAAGTGAGCAGACAGCCATACGCTAAGCTACTGTGTGCTGATTTAAAACGATAAAAAAGGACTAGAATCACGTAAAACCTCACAGGATGCTCAACATGTGGAACAAATGTCCAAATGCTGGGTTTTGTCAAAAGACAAAATGTAAGCGTGCTTGCTTGGCTTTGCTTACTTGTGTATGGAGTAGCCCTGGGAGAATGCTCAGGTTGGCAAAGGTTGGGATGTGTCATCAGCTCCCCTCCAGACTCCAGGAGTCAAAGCATCCTTGCTCCAGCTACTGGAATCATAGTTGGTCAAAGGCCTTCAGCCGACAGCCCTTGGGGACAAGAGTCCTTCACCCGAGCTCACCACAGCTTCTCACGGTCATCAGGAGTGGGCAGTCTTGATGGTGTGAAGGCCAGCCCCAGGGCTGGACTGGAAAGACATCCCAAGTGCCCAAACCCCTTCATTTTTAAAAATTCCATTGTATTTATTTATTGTGGGGGTTGCGCATGCTCATAGTACAGCGTGTGTTGGAGGTCTTACCACAACCTAAGTTGTCTGTTTTCAGTTTCCACCATGTGGGTTCCAGGGAGATTGAGTTTAGGGAGATGACAGAGCAGGTTGGGGTACCTGCCTCCAAGCCTGATGACCTCATTCAAGCCTTTTCCATTAACCTCTCCCTCTCCCTGCTTCATAGGTTCTGACCCAAGACACTCCTGTTAAGTCTCTTCCTTATTAACCCTCCACTTCCTGGGGAGTCTCAGAGATAAAAAGCTAGGAAGCTAAAATCACTGGCTTCTTATGATTGAAAAAAGAAGGAAGCCTGGTGAAGGAGGTCAAGGTTGGGAAAGACATTTCACGATCTGCCTTTTGATAATTAAAAGAAGTGTACCAGTGATTATATGATTTATATAAATTATAAATGCAATGTAAACTTTACAGGGCAGGCATATTTTGTAATCATCCATGTATATGTTTAGATAATCTTTTTTTAATTTAGGAAAAGATATTTAATTTTTATTTATTTTACTTTTAATTATTTGTGTGTGTGTGTGTGTGTGTGTGTGTATGTGTGAGTGCAGTGCCTGCAGGGTCCAGAAGATGGCAGTAGAGCTCTTTTTTTTTCTTTTTTCTTTTTTGAGACAGGGTTTCTCTGTGTAGTGGTTTGTTTTGTTTTGTTTTGTTTGTTGTTTTCTGTGCCTGCCCTGGATCTCGCTTTGTAGACCAGGCTGGCCTCAAACTCACAGAGATCTGCCTGGCTCTGCCTCCCATGTGCTGGGATTAAAAGCATGTGTCACCACCGCCCAGCTTGGCGGTGGAGCTCTTAAGCAGTGCGAGTTACCATTAGTTGTGAGCCACTCCATATGGGTTCTAGGAACCAAACTCGGGTCTTCCTGCAGGAACAGCCAGGGCTCTTAACTGCTGGGCCATCTTTCCATCCCAGGAAGAGGTATTCTATTCCCAAACCCTGTGCCCATCACATTCTGAATGTTCTTTTCTCTTTTCTTGTTTTTTTAGTACCTGCAGAGAAACACCACGTTGATTTCATCTCACAATGGAGTTTCAGAAGTCACCTGATGGAGGGTGGGGCTGGGTGATTGTGACCGTCTCCTTCTTCACTCAGTTCCTCTGTTACGGATCCCCGTTAGCTGTTGGGGTCTTGTACATAGAGTGGCTGGATGCCTTCGGTGAAGGAAAAGGAAAAACGGCCTGGGTGGGATCCCTGGCAAGCGGAGTCGGCTTACTCGCAAGTAAGTGGATATGTTTGTGTGTTTCCTTACTCTCTAATCATTTAATGATGTTTGCTGTATCAGTAACATTGCACGGGGCCTGGAAGGCTTTTACACATTTGAAGTGTAATGTGTATTTTCCTGCTCGGCATCGAGGTATAGCACTGTTCCTTCCCTGTAATGAATCTGTGTGAAAGTACAGGAATTCCACATGCCTACAATTCATCTCGTCATCAGTTTCCTTGTTAAAGTGACAGGCAGCCTGGTAGAGGATGGACAGGAAAAAATGAGGGGCTAGAGAGATGGTTGTTCTGAGGGTAAGAAGGTACGCTGTTTTTGCAACAGATCACAGCACCCACATCAGGCATCTTACAGCCACTTGCTCCAGGGGACCAGACACCTCCTTCTGGCTTTTGTGGCACCCTCATACCCATGTGAACAACACACACACACACACACACACACACACACACACACACACACACACGGCTCACCATCTAACAAGGAACACACATATTCTCATGGATATAATAATTCACAGGATGTGTGCAGTGTGCAGGCATGTTCACAGTATGCACGTGATCTCCATGTCTTCCAAGCTCTGATGCATCTCAGATTCAGCACTGGGTTCCATTCACATGCCCATCAATTACAGCAACCTCCTCAGAAAAGTGTCACACAGCAAGGGCAGTCTATCTCACGTGGTGATGTTCTTTAGGCTTTTCCCGGGGGTTATAGGGAGAACTATTTTGGTAAACAGTAGTTTGTGGTGTAATAGTGATTTCTGTGCTTAAAGCAAACAGAAAAGGATTTTTTAAATTATCTTTTGACCATGAATATCGTATACCACTTGAGTGTCTGAAGTCACAGTTTGAATTCTGCAGCAATTCTTCATGGCTCTGTCTTTACCTTATCTGGCACTATTTAAATACTGAATGGGCTGAGACAGGCATAGATGGATGGGTACCCCGGAGCCTCTTCCTATGTGCTAAGTCAGGAATAGGTGGGTGGGTACCTGAGGAGTCTTCCTGTGTGCTAAGACAGGCATTGGTGGGTTGGGTACCTGTGGAGTCTTGCTGTGTGCTTTGAACTTACCTTGATTCCGGGAACAAAACCCAATCTCTAAACTGTGGAGAAACTAGGAACATTGGGTGTGGTGATTCATAAGGTGTTGTTGAGTTTTAAAATGAATTTATGGAGGTCTGCTTACAACAAGCCTGCATTAGTCATCCCCCTCCCACCCCGCCTTTTTTTTTTTTTTTAAGATATGTCTGTCCCTTGGCTACTCAGGGGGTTGCTGTGGAAAAAAGCAACGGTATCCAGTTGTTATATCCAAAACAAGATACATAGCCATGGGGAAATCCTTGCAGGCTCCTCTGGCCTTCTCAGATAAGATAACTAAGCATGACTAAACAGATGAAGAAAGTCGTGATGTTCCAGAATCAAGAGAAACAGGAAATTTGCCCAGGATTTGTTTGAAAGGGTTTTTAAAAAATGAGGATTGCAAGGCTGGAAAGATGGCTCACTGGTTAAGAGTACGGGCTGTGCTGAGAGAGGACCTGGGTTTGCTTCCTGTCCGTTTCAGGTGGCTCACAACTGCCTGTCACATCAGTTCCAGGGGATCCAGTGTCCTCTGGGCCCCATGGGCACCTGCGCGTACATAGTGCACACGCACACACTCAGGCACACACACAAACACGTGCAATCGTAAAGTTAAAAAGAAGACTGCTTGTGAAATTGTCAAAGCACAAGTGGCTAGTCACTGGTACATTCATAGAGCGATTCGAACACATGGCTTTCTAGAAAACACCCTGGTGTGGCGAGGAGATTTTTACAGTGTTTTCTTATATTTCATCATTTCTATTAGTAAATTCTTAAACAGAGCTGTAATTATTGGGGCTCCCAGTCAAAGGAGTCAAAGGAGAATTCCAACGATATTCCCTTTAGCACATGGAAGGAGAACCAGGCTTGGAGAGTTGATTCAGGAGGGAGAAGAGAATTACTGGAATTGGGGATGTGGAACGCATGCATTGGTGTAAAGGCTGAAGCTGATGGCACCTGGAATATGGAACATGGACACTGGTGTAGAAGCTGAAGTTGGTTTCCCTTAAAAACTGACCTGTAGCTCCACAACATCTCTATGTACCTAGGTCAACATCTCCATGTCTCTAGGTCACCGTTTCCATGTCCCTAGGTCATCATCTCCATGTCCTTAGATCAACATCTCCATGTCCCTAGGTCAACATCTCCATGTCTCTAGGTCAACATCTCCATGTCCCTAGGTCAACAGCTCCATATCCCTAGGTCAACATCTCCTTGTCTCTAGGTCACCGTTTCCATGTCCCTAGATCATCATCTCCATGTCCCTAGGTCAACATCTCCATGTCTCTAGGTCAACATCTCCATGTCCCTAGGTCAACATCTCCATGTCCCTAGGTCATCATCTCCATGTCCCTAGGTCAATATCTCCATGTCCCTAGGTCAACATCTCCATGTCCCTAGGTCAACATCTCCATGTCTCTAGGTCATCATCTCCATGTCCCTAGGTCATCATCTCTATGTTCCTAGGTCAACCATATTTGTCTCAAGGTCCAGGGTCAGCCATCATCATTTTAAATAGGACTGTCTACATAATTTATAAACCCCAGAGCAACATGAAAATACAGAATCCTTGCTTAAGTATTATTAAGAATTTCCTAATAGTGACAGCAGATCATGGCCCTAGAAGCTAGGCCCTGTCTAGTCTAAGAAGCCAGCCTGGTTCAGAAGAACTAGAAAGATGGATGTGAGTGGAATTCAGGGGGAAGGTGGAATTCTGAAGGGCAGTTTGGAGGGTTGTTACTCAGGTAATTCATCTTAATGTCTCCCCCTTGGAGTCATGGAGTTGCTTTGATACAGAACTAAGTCAGTCCTCTACTGTTACCCACTCCCGAGCCACTCAAGAGCCCAGTGGCCTCATGCCCTACCTTAGTGATCCTCCTGGTCTAGGCCTCTGTGATGTTGGGCCTGCCCTTCCAAGTCTCTTAAGACCTTTAGGAATGCCAAGAATTCTGGCTGTGTTTTGAATGTAGCATTTGGTAATCTGTGTCAGTGCTCACATCTTACTAGAACAACACATGTGGGGTCCGGGGTCACGCAATAATGGGGGACAGACCACCAAAGTCTATTAAACCAGAAGCAAACTTTGTTCCAAAAGAAAAAAAGGAAAAAAGAATCACTGCGGGGCACAAGAGCTTATCGGCTAGCTGAGACCACAGCCAGAGTTGGATTTTGAGCCTATGGCCATGGGGGCGGGTTCTGGCCCCCTTTTTATAGTAAGGGGGAAAGCATCAGGCACGGGGTGCATGCTAGGAGTCACGTAGAAACATCTATTAAAAGTTAACTTTGGTCCAGGCAGTTGTTGGCTATAAGGGGCAAGGGGGGGGTTAAAAGTTAACCCCTGGCTGTTGACAGAGGAGCTGGCTGTAAGCAGAGCGCCATTGTTAGCAGTTAACCTTTAGAGCTGATGCCTGGCAGCTTTTATTTTATTTTTTTAAGGTTTATAATTTTATATTTCTATATTCCTGGACCCTTCACACAGAAAAGGAAGAGGCATGGTAGGCCGGTCTTTTGGAAGAGTTAAGTTCTCAGTCTATTTGGGTATTAGCTACCTGATTCAATTTTTAATTTTTCTTTTAAAAGAAAAAATTGTATATCTCAAGCATGAGCTCATTTAAAAATACACAGAAACCGTTATAAACTTCATTTTGTACAGCAAATTTTTGGCTGCCAACTCTGTTGTGCGTGCAGAATGAATCATATTCCACAGTGCATCCAGGAAATGCTGAGTGTATCGGGAAATCACTTGGGCAGTGTGAGCTCATTTTCTCACACATCTCTCTGACCTCCTCTGATGGTTTCAAGAATGCCAAGAACAAATTATCTCATTAATCTCTAAGTATAAGTCGATGGGCTGTTACTGTACATCCTTCTGATATCCTAAAAGTAAAAGTAAATACATTCTAAATGAGGCAGCTCCGAATTGCCAGCTTTTTAGATAAATGAACTTTTCACTTTCTTCAAGCAAAAAGATTATATTCTAAAATATATGGAATTGGAAACATTAACAAAATCAGGACGAGAACCAGTACTCAAAGGGGCTTGGGGTAAAGTCAGAGTCGAACTCACGTCCTGGCTCAACCACCTTTAGTCAGGTGACCTTGGGCAGGCCACTCACCTTCTTGGGTCCTGACACCAGGTACTAGAGGAGAAGGCGTTTGGATTCGCAGCTCAAAGTCTGCAGCTCAAAAAAATTTGAAGATGAAAATAGAAAAGAAAAGCCCTGGGGCTGGAGAGATGGCCCAGCGGTTAAGAGCACTGACTGCTCTTCCAGAGGTCCTGAGTTCAATTCCCAGCACCCACATGGTGGCTCACAGGCACTCGTAATGAGATGTCCTCTGCAAGGACACATGCAGGCAGAATACTATATACATAATAAATAAATATTTTAAAAAAAAGAAAGAAAAAAAGAAAAGAAAAACCCTGAGAGCTCAAGGGGAAACTTATTAAAAACAAGTGGTGGAAGAGCAAACACTTGTGGAAGTGTGTGTGTGTGTGTGTGTGTGTGTGTGCGTGTGCGCGTGTCCGTGTGTGTGTGTGTGCGTGTGTGTGTGTGCTCTGTGTGTGTGTGCTCTGTGTGTGTGTGTCCGTGTGCGTGTGTGTGCGTGTCCGTGTGTGTGCGTGTGCGTGTGTGTGCGTGTGTGTGCGTGTCCGTGTGTGTGCGTGTGCGTGTGTGTGCGTGTCCGTGTGTGTGCGTGTGCGTGTGCGTGTGTGTGTGCACACATTTGTGTGTGTGCTCTGTGTGTGTGTGTGCGCGTGTGTGTGTGTGTGTGTGTGTGTGTGTGTGTGTGTGTGTGTGTATTCTTAAGTCTATTTTTGAGATGCATGTAGAGGTTAGAGATCAACCTTAAGTCCTTCCCCAGGTGTTACGTGCCTTCAGCTCTCAGATTCATTGAGGCTGGGCGGCCATGAGTCTTCAGGAA